AAATAATATGTTTTAAGTGGAGTTTTCCAGAGGGTGAATTCACTGCAGATTGACTCGAAGTATTAGGGTTAAGGGAGGATGAGTGTGCCAAAATGTCAGGACCGGAGTCTGTGGGATGACCACATACAGATTAGTCCATTTAAGGGAAATGGAAGTCAAAAAGAGAAAACTATTAAAAGTTTCAAAATGAAAATTACTTTAAGTGATTGTTATAAAATGTCAGTGTGTTCCCCCGTATTAGGTTGATTTTGTTAGAAAAGGACAGAATGTATTCAAAGATGATATGGTTGATCAGTATGAGTCACCGCACGGTAAGCTGATATTACTAGATCTGGTACGAAGAGGTGCTGGTAGAAAGCTGAATCTCCCAGATGGTGTGCCGATTGCCGAACATCTACATGGACCGCTCGCATGCACAGATGTTTCTCTGCGTGGTTGGTGAGTGGATGTTTCCTGGGCCAACCTCTGAGCTCCATGATAAGAGGATGTCAGACCTCGGCAGATGTTTGCTCTCAGGAATATAATCCAGAGTGGCAGCACTAAAGTAGCACACAGGACCTTTGCTCTTTGACATTCTTTGATATTTGTGTTGGTTGAAGCTAATATACAGTACTTGCTTTTAAATGTGTCTTTGCATTCGCTGCTCATTGTTCCGATGTCCCTTTATTACAAAACCTGAGTAGTCCAGAAAATGTCCCATTGGACCGAAAGCCCATTTATCTGAAAGCTTGTTATCTTGAAAACAAAAGCTCACTGTTCCGAAAATACAAACTCTCCCTGGAGGTTTTTGCCCTTAATATATCAGTGTATATTGACGTGTCAATGTCAGGTGACCTTTGTCAGGTGACCTTCGTCGTCATCGTCAGGTCACCTTTGCTGTCATGGTAATGGCCAATTAGCCACTAAAAGAAGAGAAAATTAATGAATTAGGGAATTATTACTGCCGCTCTCCACCCAATAATTTAAATGAATTAATGATTTTTGGTTTCATCAAAAAACATTTTCGGTGACCACCCTCTGGAATTGGTTTATTGAAGGAACTTAAGGAGGTTTATTGGAATCTATTGGCATTCTACGTTGAGCAACGTAACTTGTGTTTCCCCCATTGTGTTGTGTTGTCGTCTGACTTTAGAACACCTGTCCCATGTGAGGCTCGAACTCACAACCTTCATATTATGAAGCCGATGCGCTACCTAAAAACAGCGTTATTTGATTGAGGCGAGTCATTTCAGTTGCAACTGTGGAGTAGTAAGATTTTTGGGTTTGTCTGCCCAGAGGCAAAGCTGAGCAATAACCATTCAACAATCTTAACACAATGTCCATTGGTCATCATTGGCAAAATGTTGTCCTGGAAGCATCTACTGTATGTTTAACACACGATAGCGTCACAACTGTTCAATATGCAGTCACAAATCTTTACAGGTGTGCATTTGAGATCAAAGTGAAGGCAGAGGTTCCCAAAATCGCAAAATGACTTTTTCAATGTGCAAAGTTAGGGACTTGGTAGCTGAATTACATTGCATTCTGCATGGTCGCAGTCATACCCCTGTCTGTCGCTCTGTCGCTCTGTCTCTGTCTCCCATTTCCCGTCCCCCTCCTCACTACCTCACTAAAATGAAGGAAAAAAAAGACAGGCACATGATTAACTAGTTCAGTTCATTACGACAATTGCAAGGATTTTAGAAGTTGCCAGCACTTATTTTGAGACATACTGAGGCCCTTTGTTTCCACGGCCAGGGGAATATGTAAAGAGATATGAAAGTAGGAAATGCATCCAACGTGTTTTGTTAGAACTACAAAATACTGTACAAACAGCATGTTTTTGTGAGAAACCGTCTTTGTTTTAAATGCAAATTGCAAATTGAATGTTCCACTGTAATGAATTCAGCCTCGGCTAGTTTAATGGTTTTGTCAGCTGAGGCTGACCAGAAAATGGCATTTTAGTCGTGGCATAAATGCAGCTGTGAACCAAAGACCTCATCACTGCCTCTTTCAAACATAGACTGAATGGAAGTCTTTGCCCATATTCACATCCTGGGTCACCAAGTTTAATTCCCTTCTGTCCGAAATGCAGAGTATGAATGTAAAGCCTACAGATTAGAATAAAGTCTCATTTTGGGATGGAAAAGCTTATGATGTCGAAGCTTTCGCTCAGAAAATTAAATTAAATTTATGAATCACAGTACATTAAAAAGACTTCTCTTTAACCTAATTTTTCAGCTTGCAGCCTGCAAAGTGATAAGGAAGGGGCTTCTTCGCACCGGTAATCCCTCTTATGTAGGTCACTTGGCTCAACTCAGCAGCCTTTCATTTGTGAATTACTTGATGGGGCCTGACTGCTCTCATAGCTCCACGCTGGCACCATCCACTAGTCTGCCAGTACCTCTTGAGTAAATCTGTAACCCCTGGAGACCACCTAACAAGATTACCCATTAATAGTACACTTCTGGAGAAAACAATTTCAGTTCTCCCTCTGCTCAGCTGTGTTGGCTACCGCTGCTCTCCAATTACTTCCTCACCTGTGTATGCTCAATGAACCAGTCTTAAAACTGGGAACTGGGACAACAGCAAAAAGTTAGAAGTTACAACTCACTCATGCACACAGACATGGGCTGCAACTCAGGATTATTTTAATGTTTAGTATAAGTGGATTTAGTAATTTTGTTTTTAGTAATATTTTTAAAAATAGAGAAAAATGTCTGTCAAGTGTTTGTCTTGTCTCACCAGCAGTCCAAAAGCCAAAGACACTCAACTACCAATGACTTAAAACAGTGGAAAAGAAAAAATTCTGACATTTAAAGAAAGACAATGTTTGGCATTTTTGCTTCACAAATGGTCAATTGATTAGGAAAACAGTTGTCTTTTGATTGACAAATTGATTGATCAATTAATCAATTAACTATTTCAGCACTACTCCTTCTACTGACTTATATCCATCCCCTTGTGGCTTGACCTCACCTTAACCATAACTGCTACATGCCTAACCCTAATTCAAATCCCAATATTAAAGATTATATATGAATTACACTGCCAGTAGGTGTTGCACTAGAGCACAGCATGTCCGACCAAAACGAATGGGCGCCACCAGACTCTGTAGACAAAATCAATCATTTTACCTTTGCAGATGATCGTAAAACACACTTAAAACAGGACAGAGACAAAATTAAACTCACTACAGCCGTCTTTTTTAGTCTTTCCGCAGTCTTTACCACTGTTGTTTTGGTTAAACCCCTAATTCACACGTTCGATGTGTACATTTTCGCAACACGGGCTGCAACATAAATAATCCTTTGTGACAAATGTGCCTGTTAAAGTCCACTGACAGGTTCAGATTGTTGTTTTAAGTGTCTGATAACAGTATGGAAAGGATCCCTACAGAGATAGACCTTTTGTTTAAAGAAAAACAAGTGTAATATAGCTATTGCTTGCCACCAGGCTCCCTAAACAAAAACTGTATTGAAGGTAAATTTTCCTTGCATATCATTTTAACATCGTAACTTCATTCTAAGTGGACGGAAACAAAACTGTTATTTAACCTTTAAAACTTCTCATGATTCCAACCCTACACCTAAAACCAAGTCTTAATCATAAAGTCAGTGATTCAACTTGTGGACACATTTCTCCATCCTTTATCCATTTCTCTCTCAAAATAAAAACCTTATGTGCTAATGTGCGCCTTGTGGCACACTAGTGTCAGCTGGAACATTAAATTAACTGTTTCAGTGCTTATTCTTAAAGGCTTCTCCTTGATCTATGTAGCGTTCTTGAATAGGCCAGAGAGCTGCTGAGGACTCAGTGGCACACAGCTCTGTGATGTATAAACTCTGTTCTTCCTCTGGAATATCTGATAGATGATATAGCCACCCGGTATGTTTGGAGTCGTGCTTATTCAGAGAAAGAAAACAGAAAACTGGCAGGTTTGACGAAGATGCATCATCTGATAGCAGCAGGTGCATCTGCTGTAGCACGGTGTGTCAGGAGAGGGCGCTGTTGCTCTACTTTGTCAAACAAGCAGCTGAGACTCAGACAACAAAAAATATTGCCATTTCACTTGAACTGTATAGTAAAACATATAGATGTGCAATAAATGCAGTTTTTTTATTTACCCTTTTTTTTATTAATTCAACAGGGATGGTGGACTGTATTCCCCTCACATGAGTTGCTTACCATATGTTGTTGAAACAGGATATAAGCATGGAGGGAAATATTAGATATTAGTACTAAAATTAGATTTACATCTAGACCGCTTTTACAATGCTCTGGTTTGATTAGAATATTCTGTTTTTGTTCTGTAAATTTGTTCCTCTTCATATTTTAGTTGCAAATGTTTTTAAGTGACGCTGCGATACAAATTCTACACTCGAGGTTCACTTAATTAGTGAGCTTCCAACTGTATCCCACTGCCATTTCTGCTAATAATGTACATCAAATCTCTTGGCCAGGATTCATAAAATGAAAAACTGTGGAGATATGTCTGATTAGGATAGTTAAAAAGCAATGGTTTTAACAGTAACTTCACTCATAAAAGGTGTCAAACCTCATGTAAACTCTATTTCTCTCATTTCCTATATGATCAATTTGCCTGAACCAACATTTATAGATTGATTTTATGGCACCAGTGCGTTCATGAAGCTGTAAAGACATGAACACTTGTTGTAAGAGAGCATCAGGTCTGCCTCCTGCTTAAAGTATCATCACTCAGCTCTTCACTGTTGCTGTGATTGTGTGTGTGTAAATTAAAGCTCAGTCCTTGCAAATGAGTGGTTAGGTGGTTAAGAGATTACCTTAAACACACACATCCATGCACATAATGCACACAGTTTGCTGGTTAACGCTGCTCTTGGGCTGCTGAACCCCCACCCACCCATCCACCCCCCACCCCCACCACCACCACCACCACCTCCCTCTCTGCCTCTTCCTTGTTCAGTATTATTGACTGGAGCCTCTATCAGCCAATCGGCAGACTGCATCCCACCTCTGTCATCAGCCAGTGCTAGAGGAAGGGATTGGCTTGTGTGATCTGAGCTTGGAAGGCAGATGAAATGCCAGGTCTGCTCTGCCTCTGGGGATAACCAGGCTGCCTTATAATGGGAACCAACACTCGCTCAGCTCAGGGGCAATAACATCCAATTCAGCAGCAGGAAAAACACAGGGCTCCACCTTATTTTTTTTTTCTATCTGCTGCTCTGGTGGGGTCTGGTTGCTCTGTGGTCTACCTTCATGTGGAGAAAGAGACTGCTGGTGGGCTCTGTCACTCATCATCCAACCCCTCTGGAACAGGTTGATCCTTTGCTGTTCCTGTCGATTTTGCGCCGAAGAGCTGCTTTTTGGAATCCCACTCCTCCATGTATGATAACTTGTACCTACATGGATTTGAAGACTCGGAGGCGGTGAGTGGAGGGGCGTCTAGCACTTGTAAAGCATGCTTCTCTGTTGTGTCGTGGATGGTTGAACCCTTTCATGAACACCCACGGAATGCATTGAGACTTGAGGGGCTGAGCGCGCACTCTTCTCGGGGGAGTTGGGGGAAGGGTGTGCACGAGCGCGTGTGTGTGTTGGGGTGTGTGTATAAGGGGTCCTCAAACATCCAACTGTACAGTTTTCTCAGCGATGTTGCCAGTCAGATAACGGTTCTCCTCCTGTCTGGAGTGAGCGTCTGCATATCTGTACAGTATTTCTTTACCCTCTCACCATATGGATGACTGGCCAGTGTCCATGCTGTAAAGCTCTGTTTATGAGCATTGTGGTTTCAATTGTATTTTTTTCCACTTGTTTGTCAGTCTCCCTTCATCAGATCCCACTCTACATCATCAAGGTTTACTGCAAGGATCAGCAGCTATAACCATAATGATCGCACACTATGGCCATCTGTATCACACTGATGTGCTGTCGGATCCGCAGCGTCTTTCACACCAGACATGAATGCATGCATGGCAGAGAAAAATCACATTCCCTTGGCATTAAGTATAAATTCTCATCTTTACCACACACAGGTGATGGTACACACTGATATATGGACCTACAATCTGCCTTTGATACAAAGAGGGAAAGATTATTATTGACGGGAAGAGTGAGCATCCATGAGATAAAAATGTGTTGGAGTAGCAGAAAAATGCTTACAAAGGCAATAAATGTAGGAGCTGCTGCTGGGTGGAGGGGAGGAGGGAATCCCGCTGAGCCAGAATCTGTCAAGACCTTTCTGTAACTGAACCTGACATCCTGGCTGCCTCTTGCACATTAAAGGTGGAGGATATTTTTTCACACATTCTGTCCTATACAAAGTATTAGCAAGGGAATGCAGGTTCTGTTTCAGCAAAAAACAACAATTTTTTCATTGTTGTGTCTTGAAGAATGAGCTCATTTTCATCTCTCTAGTCTAGTTCTGTCAATGCTGTGCGTTTCTACAAAGGCTTTATTTTATCTAAGAAACTAAAATAAACACTACATGGCCAGAAAAATGTGGGCAGATATGCATTGCACCTACAGCTATATGTGATTGATCAGCATCCCAGTCCAAAGCCATGGGCATTAGTCTTCTTAACAGAACCCATTCTTCTGCTTTCCGCCTGAATCTGAACCTGGCTGCAGGGATTCGCTTCTGTCCAGCAATCAGAGCATTAGTGAGCTCGGCCACTGATGTTGGGTGATAAGGCCGGGCTCACACTGGGTGTTCCATTTAGTTCAGGGCTCTGTGCATTTTAAGTTCTTCCACACCAAACTGGGAAACCTTTCACGTTAAAACAGAAAAAGCCCAAACCCTGAAAAACAGCCCCAGAACAAACACACATAGAGACAGGGGTGTCCACATACTATTGGCCAGATAAATGTTGTGAAGTGGGTGGCACTCCAAATCCCCATTTGAAATGTAATGTAGTTGGATTCTCTTGGATAACTGAACAGTGCTGTTGATTTATGTCCAGGCCAGTTATGCCCCAAAGATTCTTCACCAAACAGGGCAGCTGTAGTAAACTCAGAATGCTTCACTGTTGCAATTGGGAACCAAACATTTTTATGATAGCTGCTAAATTCATCCAGAATTAACCCAGAATCTGAAAAGTGAACTGCTCAATGCTTCTACAAAGCGGAAACAAGCAGTGAACACAACATTGACGTGTCATCACCTTGCAATTGGATATGGCAAAGTGTTGGCAAACATTTGCTTATTTCCACATCGAGCGGAGAAACCGTATCATTCATTTGGAGTCGTGTTTCTGGCGGCCTGTCAAATACAAGTCCAATATTCACTCTCTTTTAGCTCTCTTTTTGGTCTCTACTAAATCCTGAGGGAATTATCTGTCCTTTAGCTGTTAAATGCACTGTACACTGTGTTCACTAGCTAATTGTTAACTGTGCCTGTCTGCTGTGTGGTGCTGAGCAGGTAGTGTACAATGAGTTTTTAGCCCTTTTTTCTGAAAACAGCTGCCTGTAATTGCTAGAAATTACACTATGAGAGTGTTGAGATTGAACCAGAACAGTAAGGTTTTAGCAACAATTAACTGAAAGTCTGAATGTGTTACTCTATACTTCATACCATCTCTTTCTTGTTGTTTCAGCTATTGTTAGTATGTGATATTGTCCCATTACAATGGGCCTGAATAACTGATGAGGCTGGAGACTATTCCTTCCTTCCACTACAGACTGTTCAGGAAATGGATTCTCTGTAAAATCCCAGTGTCTGTTCAACAGGTTTCATTACATTTTTTGGATTCCCTTTTTCCAATTTCAATCAAACAATTACCCCAGACATGTTTCTGTCTACATGTCAGGTGTGCAGGTCTTCTCTGGTCCACTGTCACAGCATCCTTTGAGTCAAACTTGTTCATACACAATCAGTGCTGCTGAGTTCCATGCTGTACCAGGGTTAGGGCGGTATTGGCAGCACTACAGAAGACATCTTTGGGGCTCTTACTGTCCTTGTGGTTTGCTATCAGCACTTGTCATTAGCTTGTGGGTGTCTGGAGTTTTCAGAAGTGAGACTTTGTCCAGGGACTTCTTAGGCAACTGGCAGAGAAACTAACACATCTGTTGCATCCTTGAGCTGTATTGACCTGCAGGTTCTCTTGTGTGACTCACTTCCAGTGAACTGTAAATGTGTCATAAGCTACTCAGGGACATTGTTCGGCACTCAGGCCATGAATGAAATGTGAGATGGCCATATATAGTAGTATATGTCCATGCCACCACCCTGCTGTTCATTGTAAATTTTATTCTGAATGTTCTTTCCAGCACAGCCATGCTTCAGGTTCATACAGCTGTGCACTTTCTTGGTCACCGACAGATTGCACCTGCATTTTAAGACAAATCATGTCAATATATTTTTAGAGTAAGTTTAAAAACAGCAAGACATGTTGGAGAGTTGAAGTGCGTTGCTCAAAACCACTGACCTGTTAATGCGCTACCAATGTTTTCACAATTTTCTAACAAAAATCAGGTGATATCTTGTGCTTGTGCACCATTGCCTTTTTAGGGCCTTGGACCATTTATTGATTTATTGATATTATTTTTAGCACATGTTCCTCAGACCCTACATTTATTTTGTAAAGTCAAAGCAAAGTTAAATGCAGATGTTAGTTTTAATAACGGCATTGAAGAAGATATTTCTCTCCCTAGCTTGAATGATGTAACCCACTTACTACTGTTTTGTACATATATAGTGTTGTTAAATGTATGACTCACCTTTACAAAAGCTATTATGTAGAGTACAAAGCCTAGGAAACCTGCTGCAGTGGCTGATTAGTAATTGTACTATTGTACAGAAGACAACATTGTGTACATGAAAACTTTTAACCCTTTAATGGGTCCAGTGTGTAACATTGAGGAGGATCTATTGGCATAAATGTATTATAATCTTCATAGGTTTGTTTTCATTAGTGTATAATCACCTGAAAATAAGAATCATGTTGCCTTACAATGAGACAGGGGGAACCAGTCCTCTGTAATGGAGTTCGCTATGTTGAACCACCAGGATTCACCACTGAATCCTACAGATGGGTCCTTTAAACTTCATGAATAAAGTGATGTATGAGAATCATGAGCTCTAGTCTCTTATTTGGGCCCTGTTGTTATAAAAGACCCTAGAGATACAGTATGTTTCCACTTCTCCGACCTTTTTGGTGGTAGATATAATGAAGAGAGAATGCTTTTAGCCTTTTAGCCTGGATACGATAGGCGCGGAGGTCAGGGGAGGAAGAAGGATGGAGATGGGACAACAGACCGAGCTTTGGCGTCTGAGCAGATAAAGCTTGAGTGTGGTGGGATGGATTCAAGACTGGCCACTTGACACCGTTAGATAATAGCCTCACAAACAACTCTTTGTCAGTGTGTGTGTGTGAGAGTAGAGACAGCAGACAGAAAGAGAAGAGGGGCAGAGATTGGCTGGCAGAGTTGTTGCTTGTGTCTGTGCACATTAGTAATTTTGGGAATGCTGTAAAGTGGTGCCTCGTGCTCTGAATACGTTCTGTCCTTCCCAGGAAAATGAGCTGAATGACATCATCTTTGTCAATGTAAAGTGGAAAATGCAGGGATCTGCAATTAAATTACCAAACACACTTGCACAGTGGATAGCCTTTTGTCTACTTCTTGGCTTTAAAGAAGTCCAATTTAGTCTCGTGTTTGCACAAGAGACCACATCAATCCAATCCAAGATGTCATACATAAATTACAATGCATTTACATTTTTACTTGAGTACTTGAGTATACACGTACATCAGCACCCACAGGCATAGATTTGGAGTGGCGAGGTGCACACTGGTCCTTTAAGTGCCAGTTTCAGTTTCCCTTCCAGCACAACAGTTTTAGCTTGTGGCTGAGGGTGTTGGGTTTCACACTGTTAACATAGAGCATTGATCTACGCAATCTGCTCAATATGGGACTTTTTTAGAGTAATCTTTTATGTTAAAGATATTCTTGTAATTTAGACATGGCTTGTTTACAGATTTAAACTTTGGAGTGTAAGGTTTTCCAGAATTATTTAGAGGCTTTAACATGGTCTCATTGTGTGTTTGCTTTTGACCAAATTGTGTTGTATTCCTGTGTCCTGGGTTATAGTTGAGATGTACGTGATTTCTAAAAATCATTCCAATATGCAGATATATGGGATGTGTGCACAAAGTTTTGAATATGAATATGATCTTGCTGAGACACACAGGTGCCAATTAAGTCAAGAGTTTTATAAATGAAATTAAAATTAAATGAGTGAATAGGTACCACATGTACATCTATAGAGATTACTTCCCTAAACAAAGCCACAGACGAGTACCGAAGAGTGAATGATGCCAACGTGTGTTTACTCAGAAGGGATGATATAAATGAGAAATGTTGATCTACAAGTAAATAAACATTTATCCTTTACATACATAAAGACATGTTCACCATAAATTGATGCTCAATG